GGTAGTCAGTATTTATCATACAACCCCTCTTTGACTTCTACCGAGTCCTTTAAAAAGCTCTATTATAGAGCTGAGAAAGGTGCCGAAAAGAAATGAGATAATTAAGAAGACTGAACACTTTCCCTGGGAGAAGAGGCTAAAGTCTCATTAGAAAAAAGCAAAAAGCTGGGAGCAGGGGAAGATATGATTCTGTATGATACAAAAAAGTGTAACATATTGGGGAAATGGATGAAAATCTCTCTCACCTCTAATTACTAGTACTCAGGGTCAAGGGCTCAGTCAAATTAATTGACAGAATATTCAAGCACCAGATAGTGCTTGAATAACATACAATTAAACTAAGATGTAACTGTAAGTTGAAACCTGCAGGGCAACCAAATTGTAGAAAGGCAAAAAGTCGACTTGATATCTCAACGTGAACAGACTGGATGCCAGTACATTTTGTGTTCTCCTTCCCCCTCTTCCCCCCCCCCAATATCCCCCTCTACCTTTTGTACTCCTTACCTTATCTCTAGTTGTTAAAAATAAAAATAAAATAAAAATAAAAAAGAGGATGTGGTGAGTGAAAGAGAGACGAGAGGAGATGAAGGAACGGTGGACACCGTGTACAAAATTGGCACCGGCTGCTATTTTTACCCGTGGTTCTGGATCGCAGAGGCCATGCAGCCCATAAGAGGGAACGGCCAAAATGGCCAAATCCTAAGTGGTCCTGGGTGGGAATCCCATCTCTGGCCAGCTCTAGGGTGAATGGGGGGGGCGGGCAGCAAAACACGAGGGGCTCAGTCAAAACCGGCCCAGCCCACCCCCGGACCCCGCCAGCCCAAAACGGCTCTCCTCCCGGGCAGAGGATGCTCCGCGCTCAAGCCTCCGCCTGCATCCCGGGTTGCCCCTGGCAACGGAACGGGGGGGGCTCGCTCACCTGCCTCCCTCCGAACGCGGTCCAGCTTCCCCACCGGAAGCGACTTGCCTGCGTGGCAAAGGGAGGGTGGGGGATGGAGAGGATGTTGACGTTCCCTGAGGCGCGGGGGTTGCTGGGAAACGTAGTTTTTATGCCCTTCTCGCGCCTTTTGTAGGTTATTTATTTTATTCTATATACTGTATTATAGTTATCCACGCGCATGCAGTGAATGTCTTTCTACTGCTCCATTTTTTCCCCCAGCGCTTTCCTAGATCGTCTTAATGCGCTCCAGCTGCGGGACTACAACTCCCACAATCCCACAGCAAGCCTATTTCGGATTGTGGGAGCTGTAGTCCCACAAATCTGCAGGTTGTCAGGATGGGGGGAGAGTGGTGTCAGGCAGTGGTCCCCAACCTTGGGCCTCCAGATGTTCTTGGACCAACTCCCAAAAATCCTGGCCAGCAGAGGTGGTGGTGAAGGCTCTGGGGTTTGGAGTCCAAGAACATCGGGAGGCCCAAGGTTGGGGACCACTGGTGTCAGGAGTGGTTTTTAGTGACACAAGGATCAGAGGTTGATGGTTTTCTACATCTGCCATTAATTCTTGCCGTCAGTACTAACCGGGTGCCCCCTGATGTGTTTCATTACAAGTCCCATCAGCCCCGTGATGGGAGTTGTAATCCGACACGTTTTCATGACACTAAACGACTAAACGACGAGGTTTAGGGAATCCGTAGATGGAGGATCCTTGGCTGTTAGTCAGGATGGTTATGTTATATATTGTTTCCAGCAACAGAGGTGGTCTGTATGTTCAGTCTACTTTCTAGGTGCTAACCATGCGCGAGCATCTTCACATTTCTTTACCTTTGAAATTTACATTTCTTTACCTTTGAAAACGATGGCTTCAACTGGACAGCCCTTCAAACAGGGGTAGCTTTCAAAGAAGACCACACACACATTGGCTGCCTTTCAGAGAAGTATCCTTGCTTATGAGAAGTCATAGGGACACCTTTCCTCAGCTTTCCAAACCTTGCTTTTCAGAGTGTTAGGGAAGCCTCGACACAACTGTTCAGAAGTCCCATTGGGACTTGCCCCCAAATAAGACGGTACAAGATTGCAGGCTTATAACCTGAGGCTGAAAAGGTTACCTTTTTTTTACTACAACTCCCAGAATTCATGAGCCAACCAATGAACACAGTGGGATATATTTAAATAAACACAGGCAGAATACCCCTTCTGGTTGAATTCATGAGCCAACCAATGAACACAGTGGAATATATTTAAATGAACACAGGCAGAGTACAGCAGCTGAGATGGTATTACAAAGTCTTGCTCTTGGCTTAAGGTCAGAAGACCATCAGTCGTAAGATTGAATCCACGCGACCCAGTGAGCACCCGTCGCTTGTTGCAGCTCCTGCCAACCTAGCAGTTTGAAAGCATGTAAAAATGCAAGTAGATAAATAGGTACCACCTTGGTGGGAAGGTCACGGTGTTCCGTGTCTAGTTGCGCTGGCCACGTGACCACGGAAACTGTCTTCGGACAAATGTTGACTCTACGGCTTGGAGACAGGGATGAGCACCGCGCTCTAGAGTCGGACACGACTGGACTAAATGTCAAGGGGAACCTTGACCTTTACATTACTTACTTCCAATCCATGTTCGCTCAGACCTGAGCTGCACTGTGTTTTGTGGAATTTACTCCCCAGTATTATTATGAATAGCTGGCTGGATAGCTCACTGGTCTAGGTGTCGGGCTGCACAGCCAGAGTTGTGGTATTCAATAAATGCACCATCTCCCGCAAAGGGGAAACAGGGGAAATGAACAGGAAAGAGCTGGGCTAAACTGAGATGACTTGTGGGAATTTTAATTATGATACTTAGTGAAGTGTATTTAGTATTAATGGGCTAAAGGAGAACATACTGCAATGACATTTGCACAGTTTCAGAAAGGAGACTGATGAGGCAAATTCGTGGAGGATAAGGCTAACGGTGGGAACTGGTCATGACAGCTGTATCCTGCATCCCGTATTAGCAAGTATGCTTCTTAATGCTAGTTACATGAGGCAGAAGGTGCTGTTTTGCCAGATCTTACTTGTGGACTTCCAAAGAAGCCTCTTCTTGGCCCTGGTGGAAACGAAATGCTGCTCTAGATAAGCCTTTGGTATAAGCTGGGCACAACTCTTTCTACCTTGTTTGCCTGATGAAGTCTTCTGGGGCAGCGGTCCCCAACCTTGGGCCTCCAGATGTTCTTGGACTTCAACTCCCAGAAATCCTGGCCAGCAGAGGTGGTGGTGAAGTCTTCTGGGAGTTGTAGTCCAAGAACATCTGGATGCCCAAAATTGGGGACCACTGTTCTGGAGCACTCCAAAACGTGCACACGCTTCTGGATGTGTAGCTGCTGGATTTTAATAGAAGCATTGGCTGTCGCTGCGTTCTGTTCTCTCAGATAAACACCCTTGTCTCTGAAAATGAGCTAAGATGGCCTGCAGGGGAAAATGACTCATCATTGTTCTCCTAGACAGGAGGAAAAGATGTTTTTCCCCCTCCCTCCGCCTCACCCCCCTCTCCTTCTCTGGAGATGAGATCATGAAGTTGTGTGTCTGTGAAGACAGTCTCCACAGAGATACTTAGATAAGATTATTGTGATGAAATGTCAGATTTCCCCCCCAATCTCTGAAGGGTCAGGTCAGCTGTCTTACAAGTGGAATGGGACGGCAGATACCCATTTGGATTCTGACACAATAGCTGTATATTTGACAAAAATGCCACATGTCTGCTTATGCATTAAATGCAACAGGCCATGTTATGCGCGCGTGCATACACACACACACACACACACACACACACACCTGAATATCATTTTAGGTGTCAAGAACACTTGTTTATATCTTGTTCGTGTAGACTTAGTCACAGGCATCACTTTTATAAAGCCTTCTAAGGGGACACATTCCAATTTTTTTTTGGTATATGTCTCCCATGGAATTATGGGAGCTGCAGTTCCCACCTGTCCTGCTCTTCCAGTCCTGTCTCCAAAAACATCCCCAAACCTGAAGTTTTAGAATAAGGATTATTTTATGAGGTGACACAATTTAGGAATAGAATAGAATAAAACTTTATTACGGTCTAAGACCAGCCACAAATAAAAGACACAATTTAAGGTGGTAGAACAGTAGGGACTAAGGGAAAGGATCCTGTTGCTTTCCATTGTTTATCCCTGGAAGGATGACAGGGTTTTGTTTTGCTTCGCTAATGAGGCTGCATGCTCTGGAACCAGCTTGTGAACCACTTTCTGTTTATCCAGCTGATAAGTGAGAGTCCACTGCCTTCTCTCCTCCCTCTCAGTTTTTGTTCTTAAGCTCTCTTGCAAGCTGACAGAGACCACAGAGCGGACAGCACGACATGACCACCCAGTCATCACAGATCGAACCCTGGATGGAAACAAAGGCTGGGTTAGAATGGAAATTCAGGGGTGGCCGCCCCAATATATTTTGCTGCCTGAGGCAGCAAAGACATGATGACTTATGGCCAGCCAAGCTATTTTGGCATGTGATGTTCCTCCCCCTCCCCTCCTGCCCCAGGTCTTCTGTTCCTCCTTGATAATAAAACTGCATTAATACACAAATGAACCATTGGATGTACATTCACGACCCTTCATATCAATTGCTAAGGGCAGCTGCCTTATTCTGCATCATGGTAGAGCTGGCCCGGAAATCAAGCATAAGGGCAATTGTGTGGCCTTTCCTTAGTAGATGGTAAAATAAAAAAATTAAAATTGAAATCCCCACCTTTGACTGGGGACTAAAATTTCTGCTATGGTTTCAGTCGGCCAGACTGAATGTCCAGCAGCCTTTCTCCAATGAGAAAGCTTCCGATATGTTGAATCACTACTCCCACAATCCCCAGACAGCATACCAAAGATATTTGAGATCATGGTAACTGTAGACTAAAATTTCAGGTGGGTGGAAATAGCAAACTCTCTTATGATTTTCCATGTCAAAATGAACTACATCTCATTCCTACAGAAAGAATTTGTGTGTGGCCGAGAAGCTTACGAGGCACTGGACATATTTTAAGCCTAATAAAAGGCAGTCTTCAGGCATAGCCAAGCCCGCCGGCCCCTCTTTTCTATTTGATCAGGAAGGCCACTTATCACGTCCTCTCGGTCTAACCCCTCTCCCCAAATCCCATCTGTATTTGACTTCCCCAATTCACCTCGATGTGGTATCTCTCACGCACACCAGTTCGGAGGGCAATGAGGGTGCCTGGCAGATACGGGAGGCAACAGCATTCTCCTGCCTGCTCCGAGACACGGCAGGCAAGGATACAGGGCACAAAGGTGGCACAGAGACCTATGAGAGAGGGACCAAAGAATTGACACACATTCAAGACTTTTAAAGCACCATCTCATCTCCCTCGGAACGATTCCCCTCAGCCTTTCACATACACCTTGAATCTTAGATACCATATTTTTCTGTGTATAAGACTATACTTTTGTCTAAAATCTTTAGACTAAAAATTGAGGGTTGTCTTATACACGGAAGTAAGCTGAGAAGAGAACAAAAACAAGTGGAGGGGAAAGCAGGGATCAAAGTGATCCTGCAGGGCTTTGATCCTTGCTTTCCCCTCCACTTGCTAAACCCCACTTAGATTTCTTTATTTTGGGTTAGAAAAGTGGGGGGCGTCTTATACATGGGGGTGTCTTATACACAGAAAAATACGGTAATTCTCAGCTGTGCTCTACACTTTTCATCCAGGCCCAAAATATCAAAATATTTTTCTTGAAAACTATTTCGTATTAGTTATCATTACTAGCCGGAAAGCAAAACATCCTAATCTTTTGTTCCTTTCTCTATATTCCAGTTACTTAGGTTTGTGCTTTCTTGGTGGTGCTCTCTGGTTTCCTCTAGTGGCCGGTTCTGATATTCCACCTTGAAAATATTTTTCCAAAAATAATAATCTCCTTGCCACTTAGGACTGATCAATGAATGATATAAAGCACGAAGAATTCTTGTCAAAACGCCCTTTGGAAGTGACTCTTGAGAGTTAAGTATTTTTGAAATGGTCAGTTATGTTACTTCTGAAATGTAACTTTGTCACATAACCTTTCACCTGCAAAATAACTAGTTATAAATGGCAATATTATTTGTAACTAGTAACTTCCATCATACCGGCTGGGGATTTTTTTTTTCATGGGGTATGGGAGGAAAAGGCTTCAAATGGGCAGAAATAACCATATCTTTCCTTATTATTTGGTTTAGATTCTGGAATTAGAACCCACATTCTCCTTCCATGGCAATATATGCCAGCCTTCTCTCACCTCGTGCCCTTGAGATGCTCGCCCCCCCCCCCGGTTTGCTTATGTACCCAAAATGGCACCAGTCAGCAACAATAGGGAGGATGAGCAAATCTGGAGTTTCGTAGAGGCAGCAGAAATGAAAAATATTTGGGGAGTGGGTGGGGGGTGCAACATGACAAAAAACCAGCATCCCAGTGAGGTCTGCACATGCTCAGAGGGCACAGAATGATGGCTGACTATTTTTGGGGCTATGGGGAAGCAGGGGACGGAATGCAGCATCCTGGAAAAGAGCACAGGGGGTAGGAACCTTGGAAGGAAGCACTTCGCATTACAACCATTCATTGCAGGTTTAACTTTTGAGACTACTGTAACAACTAAACGTAAACTTTCATTGGTGGACGACGTCCCTTTGCCCCTTATCAGGGTGCTAATATTTTATATAAACTGTACATCCTTAGCAAGGCAGCCTGTAAAGGCACATGTCCTCCCGTGAGTCATGAGGAAAAGCGGTGAATCATGTGAGAAAGCAACCAGAACTGATAGCTTGATAGCTGGTCAAATCTTCTCCACCCCCTAGAGCAGTGGTCCCCAACCTTGGGCCTCCAGATGTTCTTGGACTTCAACTCCCAGAAATCCTGGCCAGCAGAGGTGGTGGTGAAGGCT